TCTTTAAGAGTTTGCATGCATATTTATTATTATAACACTTTCTACGTCATTAAAGGTTGAAAAAACATGAATACTGAAACTACGTTTAAAAATGTCTTGGAAAATCATGTACATAATGGGCCATTTCTCTGTTCCTTTACACGTAATATATTTCCTCCTGAATCATATTACTGTTCCTTAAAAATATATATAAGCCAGATCATCCGTGTGTTATTGCTTGTAATATTAAATTAAAACAAGCCATGCGTGAGGCGAAAAATGTAATAAGTGAAGATAAAGGTGGCGTGAACAAGCATCACCTGACTGGTGTGTTGTTGACCTGGCGCAGCAGACGACACCTCACTGAGCAGTGTTCCTGTGCGGCAGCTGGAAGTCTACCTCTGACGTCACCTCTGTGATCAGTCTTCCTGTGAGTCAGCGGGAAGTGTACCTCTGACGTCACCAGAGTGCTCAGTCTTCCCGTGCGTCAGTGGGAGGCCTCCATGTGGCACCAACACCTTGTCTGGTTATCCTCAGAGTCAGCGGGTCATCCACCTGTGCGGCCTCCGTCCTCAGGCCAGGCTCTCTACCGCAGCGCCCGCCCCAGAGACCTGTTCATCAATTAAACATACTGTGTAATAAAAATAGGTTTGTTCTCATGAAACACAGACAAGGATCAACGGTTTCAAGCTCAACAAGCCACAATGTAGGAACATAACACAAGAGTATACCCATAGGGTTATGAACCCATGGAACCGCCTACCGGCCGAAGCTGTAAATGCCAAAACATTGCTGCAGTGTTAAAATCCAGCTTAAAAAAATCATCAGGACAAATGAGGGTACCTTTGACACGCCTCCGGCTTCCTGTCCTCGTTGAAGGCACTAGGGTGTTAATGGCCCTCAGGTAAATTCAGGTACATAATATACAATAATTAAATGTTTAGTTAATCCTAGATTAGGATAGGTGCTTAGGGTCTTCTGGCGATTGTGTTCATAGCACATCGGTGAAGCATATACTGCAACCTATACTCAGATCAGGTTCGTTAAAGCAGCGGACGATGTAGGTGAAGCATTTAATGAGTTGCGATTCAAACAGAGGTCATCAGTGAAATATTGTTCAAGAAATGTTCAAATATTTATTGCAAATTGTGTGTGAACCGTATTTTCATTCATAAACAGTTAATTGAGTTGGGGAAATTGATTAATGAGCATTTGGCCTTTGTTGATGAGGATGGGTATGTGGGCCTGCGGGCCGCTCCAAGCAACAGCCTGGTGGACCAAACTCACAAGTCAAGCCTGGCCTCGGGCCAGGCTTGGGGAGTAGAAGAACTCCCAGAACCCCATCAACCAGGTATCAACCAGAACTTAAGACTGATAATGTTTGATCATTTCTCAAAAAGTGCCTCGCTGATGACCTCAGTTCAAACCACAATGTTGTAAATGCTTAATCCATGTACTTCGAAAACGAATAATTACCAACAGAACCTAAACACCTAGCCTATGCCTAACTATACATAGAACTTTAATATATAATAATATTATTATATAACCAAGAAGAAAGCTATTTTTAATACTGTTAAAGCTGATCAATGCATCGTGGAGGATGGCTGCAACTTTAAAGATCTTGTCCTTGGTTTGGTACACCTTTGTTCACCTAGCATTAAATAGAAATGTAGTGGTTAAACAAGTATTGTGAGGTTGCATCCTGGGGACTGTCAATAGTTCAACCAAGACAAAACCTCAATTCAAGCCTGAAGTATATTCATAAATACGTTACTATTAGTTTAAAATTGTGGCTTTAGTTTGTCTTTTAATATATTTTAAAGTATAAATTCATTTAAAAGTAGCAGACAAAAAAAATATATTTTTGAAAATATTATGTAATGAAGGTGGGAATGCCTCCTTAATTTGCTTTTCCAGGTGAAATTATTGATCGTTCACTTTCTTTAGTGAGAGATGAAAGTTTGTGTTCACTTCCAGTTTCACATTATGCTGCCTATTGTGTTTGTAGCTGCTGTTCTTTTTAGATCCTGTTTCTTTACCATGCTTTTTGGGTGTTTGATGATTATTGCTACCAGAGGCAGCTAGATACCTGGTTGATGGGGTTCTGGGAGTTCTTCTACTCCCCAAGCCCGGCCTGAGGCCAGGCTTGATTTGTGAGAGTTTGGTCCACTAGGCTGTGGACCAAATAGACTAGGCTGACTGTGGTGGTGGTGGCTGTGGACCAATAAACTAGGCTGTAGCTAGTTTATTGTTCTGCCAGAACAGCTAGTTCGGGCTAGTTCTGCCCGAAACGCTTTGCGTAATAGTGGCTTTAGGCATTGTATGTACTAGCTCTATCTATAAATCGATCAAATTTTGGAAAATCTCTTATATGTATGTACCTTACCTGAATAAACATTTATTTATTTATTGTGCACCCCCATACTCATCATGTGAGCAGTAACACAAAAAGGATTACAGAGGGTACAAAAGGTCTTTATCACACCTCAATGAAGATTAACAAATTCATCTATCCTTCACACCTTATAATTACAGTGTCAACTAGTTACAGAGAATGTGCTTTTTCAAGGGCTATATATTTACAGTAAATCATTATACATTAATGGTAGGTTTTATTGCTAATACATAATTGTTTGAGCAAAGGAAATATTACAGTCATAGGGGAGCTGCTGTTTGTTATTACTGTATTAGTCTTCACAATACACTACTGTACTTGTTTCTTAATCTCATGTCATATATCTACTGAAAGTGAAATATGGAAACAGTGCAATGATTTCAAGTATTTTATTCTTAGTAATAAGATGGTTTGCCATTTCATATAACGTGCATTTAGATTTATCTCTAACTGGCTCAATTTTTACTACAGTCCAAGATAAAGTGATTGAGTGTGTGTCCCTGTCTTTGTCCACACACTATACATTTTACTTCATCTAAATCACTATACAAAGACCAAAGAGCCAAAGCTCAACCCCCGCACACAATTAGGTGAGTACAAGTCGAACTGCCAGAGACACCTGTAGCCAAGTCTTACTTGAGCTGTGACGTCTGTTAGTCTGCTGATTTTATTACTTGCCCCATACACATGTTTTACTTAACACATTTCATTGTGATGCTTTTTGGATCTTCACAAATTTCCTGGTTTGATTCTTAAGGGGTACTAACAGCATCTTAAAACAGGGAAGTTACTGTGAATATCTGAGAATACATTACCTAAAAAAGTTTGCTGGTCTAGCAATATTATTTGTACCCAAAAGCAGATAGTCTTTTCTTATTAGTAAAAGCGGTACACACTTTTCTGATATTACAAGTCGATCTACTTTTAAATATTGAAGTGTACACTGTCATTGTTTCTCTGAATACAACATGTCAGTTTCACTTGATAGTGGTTCACTTGATAATGGCACTACATCTGTTGATATGCTTGTTGGTATTTATCGTGTTACCTGGGTAACTGATAAATATTAACTACTGTACTGTATAAATGTAAATGGTCTTTTATTATTTGCTGCTTATCTTGATCCATTTTTTAAAGAGTTGAGAAACAGTAGAACTGTCTATTGTAAAGGCAATACTAAACCTAATTTTTTATGATGCTGATTTATTCTATTAACTTGAACCATAGATGGTAAGGAAAACAAATGTGTAAAAGATATTGTGCAGAATTCCACCACTTCTTCAATTCTTGCAAATGCGCTGCGGTTGTTTTTAACACAATATAGCTAACTTATTTTATCAAAATTTCCAAATACTGTACAACTATTAACCAGAGATTCCAGTAAAATATTCCAAAAAGTATCTGGATATTGTATCCTGATGGTATCAGAAACCTGGAAGTCAGAACAAATGTCATCTTGAGTGAATGTGGCCATCTTGAAACCTGGTTGAAAGTAAAGTTATTTAACAGTTACTGTTTCAGTTTATATGGTTGCAAAGAATGGAACCTACAAAATGCTTAGGTAGGTAAGCTGAATTGTGTGTGGTGTAGCAAATGTTGGATTACACGTAAATGGTATCTAACAACTGTATTTACTAACCAGACATTTGGGTATTAATAGACACTGAGTACAGTATCTATATTACAGTGAGCACAGTAAACAATTTGTGATATTAGTCATATAACTGTAAGCTGGATGTTAGGCTGTTGGTAAAGTCATTTGTAGAGTGAGGTCAAGAGGAGAGTTGTCTCCTAATGGTGTTTGTCTTCTGCTGGGTGTCTTCCACCTTTTATATATGGTTATGACCAGGATCAAATAAGAGTATAGAAGATAACAGATTTCTGATTGGCCACTTCTGTGCCCTGTGCTCATCACAAGTGACCACGGCTGCTCCCAAGCCCTTGTTCTTTTCCTGGAAGAGTGATTGTAGTGACTAGAGGTATGTTACAAAAGAAATGTTTACATATTCTAGATGTCCATCCTTGCACTCATTACAATCACCTACCTAGCCTGATGTCCACATATCCACTTGAAAAAATAACTCACAAATTAATGTTATCCTTTTATCTAAAGGGAATCACCCATCTAGTAAATAGCATAAGTTTTTCAGACACTTGCCATTCAAATTTTGCCAGAAATATTAACTTGCTTGTAAGAAGAATACTGTACAGCTTAAGAATGATCCATGTGTATAAATGTTTTATTACATTCAACACTTGATTTATACAATGACATTAGAAATATGAATTAGTAATATACTGTATATATAATGATATAGTTATTTAATTAATTCATTTTGTCAGGGGACAGGCATCCAGTTTATACATGCAGTACATGTTAGGCTTATAATGACGTTCTCTCCCAGGGTCGAATTACTAACCCTTCCCTGGATGCAACCCTACAACAAGCTGACTAACTCCTGGGTACCTATTTACTGCTAGGTGAACAGGTGCATTAGGTGTTAGGAAACATACCCAACCAATTTTATTCCACCCAGGATTTGAACCCAGAAATCTCTATTATGAGTTGAAAACGAACCCAACTGTACTACCTAGACTCTCTTCGGTACAGTAAAACAATGTATGTTTTACAGCTATTTATTAAGATGATGAAAACAAACATGAATGGTTGTTTGGCAAATGTATCCTTAAATGCCCCCCCCCCCCTAAAAAAAAAAAAAGTGAAGATAACCACTAATACAGTATAAAATAAATAATCACGATACAGTATCCACTTGATTTAACGGCCTATATGGGGCTGTACCCAGGTTGTTATTTCCGGGGCTCCGGTATTTCTGAAAGTTGTTGAAGTATTAGTAATATTTCGAGTAACATTCAGGTAAGATATATAAAATATAACTAAAATGAAAAAGTTCATTGTATAATTGCGTTCCAAGTTAGTTCCTGTGTTAGTGCCCATTCTATCACAGGTTACAATTAATAATTCCTTCATATGACAAGTTGGATCACACAAGTGGACCACACAACAAGTGAACCATATTAACCAAACACCTCCCTCCCTCACTGCTTCTATCCCTCCCTGCCTCTCCCCCTCAATGCCTCCATTCATCAATCACTGCCTCCCATCTCTCCCTCAATGCTTTCGAAGTCGGTGGCCTGCATTCCATGCCATGCTGATACCAAAACAAACCCAATACCGACCTACGGTTATATCGACCACCAGACCGATATCTGAGGCTCCAGATACCAGTCTCCCAAACCAGTCGTTATTACTGGCAGATCGGTATAAAAGAGGCCGTTAAATTGAGTGGATACTGTTGAATTGTAGGAACATTGAAGGTTAACTTATTATTTTGTTTAAACATGCTAGAATACTAATGTTGGGTTAAAAGAAAATATGTACAGTAGTATAAAATAAATTTAAATACTGTATATGCTAAAATTAAAAATTGTTACAGAAAATTATATACATTTTAGCCTTATTTTACAGTATATTCAAATTGAAAATAATATTTCACATGTTGCCATCTATGTGAAATATTCTTTCACTGTGAAGATAGTGTGCTGCATTTTTTTTTTTATAAGTGTGATAAGTGACAGGTGCCTAGAAAAATATTTCTAAGTTGTATACTAAAATGTTCAATTCTTTCCCAGTTTAGTAAAACTGCCGCATGGACCCAGTACATGCTGCTATCTGTCAGCAACAAAATCAAGTGTCATGCCTAGCAGTAATAGCAAAAATAAAATGAACAATGTGTATCACATTGTGACATGTTGTCTTAGTATATATGTAAATTGTAATTAAGAATACAATATTAAAGTTGATCCACAAGCTTACTGGCCTCTTTGTTATTGGTAAAAACTATGTACAGTATATATGATTTCTTCATACTTAAGATTATTTCACCTTATGTTATAATTATTAATTGTAAATATGAAAATGGCTTTATTTAGTACACATGTTAGTAAAGATGAGAACAAAAAAAATCAATGCAGGGAAAATATAAATACAGAATTTGTTGTTGCAGGTTATAATGCAGTACCCGTATCAATTCCATAATATGTATATTGGTTTTATTTATTATGATATTTATGTATTGTGAACACTATGAACTGGGTATTGAGTTTCTTGTAATATATTACATCCCCAGATAATGAGCATTTGTTTATTAAAATGTTGAATGATATACTGTAGACAGAAGAAAATTGTATTTTTCTTACTAAAAATGTAATGGAGCAAAACACTTCTGGGGTGCTGCAGTGAAAAGGTTGACTAAAACTATCTAGTCAAGGATTCCACGTTCCCGCTCATAGTCCCGAATCTTCTCATAAATATTGTAATAATATTTTATCTTGGCAACCACCTTTCTAGCTGTTTCTATATCATTCCTTGCAAAAGCAACATCTGCTTCTCTGAAATACAAGAAAATTATGTCTAAATAACTTTATAAAAAATAATTGTTGTTTTAAAGAACAGTAAAACCATTGTAAACTATTGTGTAGACTTTTGCCAACAGGCAAATTTAAAAACAGTGCTAACATTTTCTTTTAAATTATAAGAAAATCGAATGCCCTCAAACATTAATGCACATATTAATATCAAACCTTCCCACAAATCATACCTCAGCAGTTCACTTAATATTTTTTGGTTGCGCTGACCAATGACTTGCACAGTATCTTTGTCTTTTGCATTGACCAGCTCTTCATTTAGTTCCATAATTTCCATTAAAAATTCTTGGTCCATAACTAGCTGAAACAAGGTATACAATGCTTTAAATCTTCGCAAATAATATTTAAACACAATATGCTTCTACATTTGAGCCACTACCAAGACCTATCTGTCAATCTCTTAAAATACATACACAGTAATAAAATGTGATTAATGCTACAGTATTTGTAAAACTTATCTTTCCTCTACTTAAACATTTGCTTATGTGCCTTTGAAAGATAAACGGAAAACCAAAATCTTTACGGCTTGATATACAAATAAGTTTTGTTGCTTACTTTACACAAACCTTGTTATATTAAGGGTGAATCATTTAATATTAAAAAAATTTTAAATTTAATATTTTACATTTTTGGCACCAGAACACTTCTACCGTATATATCTACTACCTAAAGGAATACATACTGTACCTTCAAATGAGCAGAATATTTTCTACATTTTGAATAATTTAGTAAAAATTTTGTAAAAAAAAAACAAAGGAAGGGAAATGTTTAAGATAAATTTTATAATAAAAATGTGAATTTTGTAGTTAATTCCCATGTACAATAGATTAACAGACTAAATATAAAGGAACAATGAACTGTAATCAAAATTAGATCAATTTAAATCTATAGAATACACTGTTATGGTTTGGTGGGTATTACAAAATTTCAGCAGGGTCTAAAAAAGAAATATGTTAAATTGTTCCTAAATTATTATTTTTTTTTCTGCACGAGCAATTGGTTAGGGAATGTAAGATTTGAGAGTGAGTGAAATCAACCAAATTATAATAAACAACATACAGTACTTGCAGGGTCTTAGCCACCAGAGTTATGTTTCTAATGTGTAGATCCTTTTCAGAATATTTGCCTGATATATTGCTTAATCACCTAAATATATGCATTTATGCACAAGCTAAAAAAAAAAATGTTTATTAACAAGCTTACTCATACACCACTACATCTGTCCAAATAGATATGTAGCTACAGAATTTTAGATTAAAAGCTACATATGTTCATCTAATATTCCTATCACATATGGTTTATCATACATGGGATATGAGTTAAGTGTACTAGCCTCCACTAGCAAAACTCTGATTGGGCTATGATGGGATCTTGAGGTATCAGAGTGAATTAAATAGTTACAAATTCTCTGGTAATTCATGCCAACTGGTAAAAAATGGTTGATAATTTAGCATTCACTAATATAATATGGAAGTGTATCAACCTCTTTTTCCAGAGAAGTAAAAGTACTGTGTTCAGGTTTGGAAGATGTGTTACCTGCAGTTACTTGCTATTGATAATATCCCAATGTATTTTTGGCTATTATTTTTTTCACACTGGTGGTTGCATATTGATGTATGTACATGTAGTTCTTGTTTCTAAACATGTATACAGTATCATATCTTGATAATAGTTTTCTGCCCTTTGAACATTTGTGGTTTCTATCAGACCTGCCTGTGTTAACACAAACTAACTGCCTATGTTTACATAGGTATTTACATGCACCTATGTAAACATACACAATATTTTTTTAAAGTGCTAACGTAAAATGACTATAGCTTCCATTATGCCTAAATATAATTACAGTTTCCCATGGTCAAGGGCAAGAAGCCTTGAATTATTAAGGAACCCCTAGGCCAATGATTGATCTTCCTCAAGAGATATTTGGGAAAATTTGAATTGGGTTACGAACTTTGCCTCGGGAAATGAGTTTGTTGATATGCGTATGGGCCGACCTAGTGCTTGGTGGCACAACGATCGTGCCTCAATTTACCAGTGCCTTCCACCTAGTGACTATCGTGCCTGAATTCTTTGTAAAAATTACATTTTTTTCCAGATTTTGGGCTATTTGAACATAAAATTTGTTATTATATATCTCACCATGGGTCCCAAGAAAGCCAGTGGTAAGGATCAAGCCAAGAAAATACATGTGAGAATGACTATAGAGGAAAAACAAAGAGATCATTCGTAAACATGAAAATGGTATGAGGGTTGTTGATGTAGAGTAGAGGATGTCTCTTCCACATTTATTAAGAAAATGTGTGCAGTATGGGAAGAATTGCAAAGTTTTGCTGAAAAGTATCACCCAAATCAAGCTGTATCAGGCCGTTGTGTTAACCTTTTTAATGACAATATGATGTCTCACTTGAGACAATTGTTACAATGTCGGGAAAAAAAGTGTTGCTAGACAGGTTTTTAGTGAAAAAAACAAGCAGTGAGCTACAAGCAGGTCCTAGTGGTATGCAGGCAAAATGTGCCAGTGTGTGTACCCCAGAGAAGTCATCACTGCCTGATGATATAATGGAAGGGGACTCCCCCTTCCAAACAGTAACACTTCTCTTCCTCAGTCTTCCATACGCCAACAAAAATCATAAATAACAGTAAGTAAAAATGTACATACTTTAGTACTAAAGATTTGGGTGAATTAAGTATAAAATTTACTTTGAAGTTAATTTTTTGGGGAGTCTGGAATGGATTAATTCAATTTCCATTATTTCTTATAGGGAAATTCGCTTTGGTTTACAAATTTTCTCCTTACGAACAGTCTCTGGGAACGGATTAAAATCGTAAGTTGAGGAACTACAGTAGTATATACTGTACTAGCTCTATCTAGAAATCCAACATTCTGAATGTAACTTAATATATATGTCCTTTTACCTAAATAATATTTTATTTATTTATTATTATTATTTATTTATAGTACCTATATACTGCTTAGTGAACAGAGGCATCAAGTGCAAGGAAACATCCTCAAACGACTGTCCTGCACATGTATAGAGCCCAGCACATTTCTGTTGTGAACCATCTACACTGACCATTGCACTATGATGCACTATGATTATTATTAGCCCATAAAAATACCTGTCCTTCATGGAGTGGTTCTCCCGCCAGATCAAGTAGATACACAGCACGTTCCACAGGATGCTGCAAGACACGATATGCCTTATTAATTGCTGATGAGTGCTCCATTGCCATTTGATGCTCTTTCTGAAAAATTTTGTATAAATTATTTTTCTAAAAACGGCATACATCATGTAAATAGGATCTAGAAGATTACAAACCAAATTAAATTATCCTGAATGATTAAATGGAATATATTGTGAGTTAAACAATAAAACACAACTAATTAGACAATATAGGAATTCATTTAAAAAAGTTAATGCTCTTGACACCAGCCCTATGGCTCCAAGTCACATACAGTCATATATACTGTATTAGTTTGGGTTTTAAAATTTTAGAGTGTATAAAGTTTGGAACATACCTCTGCTTTTAGCGAAAACTTATCTGGGTGAAACTGAACTTGTAGTTTCCTGAAAGTCTTGGCTAATACTTGCGTATCAATATTATAAACTCTCTCAATGCCCATCAATTTAAAATAGTCAAGCTTCTTGTCTAAAGGTTGCAGGGTGTTACATGTCTCACAGAAGGGTGAGGAAGGTGGTAGTTCCGTCTCACAATTCCAACATTTGGCGAATATTACACTGCATAACTTCATAACAATGTTCAACATTGTGAACCGCCCACACACTCTTGTTAATGTACTAGTTCCAAGGGCCACGTCTTCTAGCTTTCCTGTGAACATAGGACGGTGAAATCTTGATATAGGTGCATATTTGAAATATGATACGGATGATAAAGTACCGATTAATGAGAACATTTTGTCTCGCTGAACGTGCAGACATCCCCTACACATCGCCATGTTTGTTTACCTGAACGTACTCTGTTGTTTAATAGTCACATCATTACTTTAATATTTACAAAAAGTAACGTTTTTATTTATACAAAATCATACTAACAAATCTGTTATTTTCGATAATTTGTTTCATTGAATACCGATCACAAATTATATAGTACCATTTACGCCATTACTATTATTCTGGCAAGTACCTGGCCAAAAGTTGTTTGGGATCCGTCAACAGAGAACCCAGTGTGTTGTGCGGCCTAGTGACGCCAGCCAGGCAAAGCAACACCTATGTCAACCTTTTACATGTGCTCGTGTGTATGGCTCCAAGTTCTGTCGTTCTGACAGTTTTTGTACCACACTTAGTATACGCGCGTGGAGTGTATCAAGTTGGCATGCAGGGATACAGGTGACAACAGGAAGTAATCAAGAAGTCAAGGTGAGCAACAGGTTGTTATGGTACATATAATTTGGAGGTGGTGTGTTTCCCCGCCAATTATTCATTCATTACTGCTTGACAGTTGGACGCTTGACGGTACTTGTTTATCACTGAACCTCTTCTATAAGGTTATCTGTTTTAATACCAGGTAAAATGTTTAATTAGAGAACTTGATGACAGTAGTTTCATTGATATGTTAAATGATACAGAACGTAACCATGTTGAGAAGTGTCTTACATATAGCTATTTCCGGTGACAACTGTACTGAACAGCTTTATTTTGGTAATAAACGTATAATGTCGAGTGGATGTGGTATATTTGGTTTCCCTTGAGTGACGTTACTCCGGAATCAAGTTGTGTTCAAAGTTTTCGTCAATGCCGCGAAACTTCTCACGCCCACCGTCCTTGGTAGGCAGATTAATATGTGTATTTACATAAGTTTGAGGAGTGCATACATGGGAATTATTAATTAACGCGTAGCTTGTATAGAAATGCGTTTTTAAAGCTTGTCATAAATGATGCTTTATTATAACACATTCGAACAGTTTCAAAGAAGGCTTCATATGTAATGACCACTCGTCATTTCACTATCTAAACGTCTCTCACTAATCACTTCCAATTTCTCTCACTCTTCAAACACTATTCACTATCCAAACAACACTGTCTCCAGCATTGATTGATGATTGATGAAGATTAAGCCACCCAAGAGGTGGCACGGGCATGAATAGCCCGTAAGTGGTGGCCCTTTCGAGCCATTACCAGTATCAAAAGATGATACTGGAGATCTGTGGAGGCGCAACTGCACCCTGCGTGACGGGAGATGTCTCCCGGACCAAGTGTGGCATGATATGTTTTTACAGAGAGAGAGAGAGAGAAGATTAAGCCACCCAAAAGGTGGCACTGGCATGAATAGCCCGTAAGTGGTGGCCCTTTTGAGCCATTTCCAGTATCAATAGATGATACTGGAGATCTGTGGAGGTGCGACTGCACCCTGCGTGACGGGAGATGTCTCCCGGACCAAGTGGTGACCAGATGGTGTGGGTAAAGTCGGTGATTGATGATTGATGAAGATTAAGCCACCCAAAAGGTGGCACGGGCATAAATAGCCGGTAAGTGGTGGCCATTTTAAGCCATTACCAGTATCAAGAGCTGATACTGGAGATCTGTGTAGGTGCGAATGCACCCTGCATGACGGGAGATGTCTCCCTTGTGAATGTGTTAAGATGAAGATGAAGCCACCCAAAAGGTGGCACAGGCATGAATAGCTCGTAAGTGGTGGCCCTTTTGAGTCATCACCAGTATCAATAGATAACACTGGAGATCTGTGGAGGTGCGACTGCACCCTGCGTGACGGGAGATGTCTCCCGGACCAAATGGTGACCAGATGGTGTGCTCCAGCATTGATTGATCGATGAAGATTAAGCCACCCAAGAGGTGGCACGGGCATGAATAGCCCGTAAATCTCCAGCAGATTTAAGATGGTAGTTTTATTGGGTTCCCAGTCCTTGTTGTTTTAGATTCAGCTACTCGGAACAAAACATTACAAGTAGCACGGGACTTACCTGGAACACGAGCGGGGCTGTAACTGGGTTACAGGTGCTTATTCGTATAGGTGCTATCCGTTCGTAAATATTCGTCCTTAAACGAACGTGCGGATGCTGTCGCTAAGGAGGCTATCCGCACCTGTCCTAGTTCCTCAAAAGGTATTCCTTATTCAGATTTTTATTACGGCTTACTATGTCCCTGTAGCACGGGCTATTTCGTTCTGAGTACCTAAATCTAAAAAAAAAAAAAAAAGGATTTTTACCCACTCATTTATTCCTCCACCCGACATTGCTGGCAGGGCCGTTAGTATGTGGCCGCACGTATCAAACTCTGCACTCTTAAAGGTATCATATCCCCTTGGCCTTCCTCCTACCGCCATAATAGGCGGTGGGACACCGCCTTGGCTATATACAGTATTACATATTGGCCATTCCCGTTTAACTCGTGGGCACTTAATGGAACGCTACCCAGTTCCTTATTGTCCTAACTGTGTTCCGCCTACAGTCATGCACCTCGACGTTGTGAAATATTCTGATTTTCAAGACGATTGTATGTCTTGCTTTCCACGATAGAATTTGTCCCTCGATGTTAGATTAAGGATTGCCCGAAACGCTATGCGTGCTAGTGGCTTTACAAGCATGTAAAACCTCAAATCTCTGTACTCTAATAAACCTAATGTACCTTATTGCATATAAATAAATAAATAAAATAAATTATTACCTACCCACTCTGTACCGTCACCCGCCCTCTCACTACCCACACGGTACGGTCACCCACCCTCTCACTACCCACACGGTACTGTCACCCGCTCTCTCACTACCCACACGGTACTGTCACCCGCTCTCTCACTACCCACACGGTACTGTCACCCACCCTCTCACTACCCACACGGTACTGTCACCCACCTTCTCACTACCCACACGGTACTGTCACCCGCCCTCTCACTACCTACACGGTACTGTCACCCACCCTCTCACTACCCACACGGTACTGTCACCCACCCTCTCACTACCCACACGGTACTGTCACCCACCCTCTCACTACCCACACGGTACTGTCACCCACCCTCTCACTACCCACACGGTACTGTCACCCACCCTCTCACTACCCACACGGTACTGTCACCCACCCTCTCACTACCCACACGGTACTGTCACCCACCCTCTCACTACCCACACGGTACTGTCACCCGCCCTCTCACTACCCACACGGTACTGTCACCCGCCCTCTCACTACCCACACGGTACTGTCACCCACCCTCTCACTACCCACACGGTACTGTCACCCGCCCTCTCACTACCCACACGGTACTGTCACCCACCCTCTCACTACCCACACGGTACTGTCACCCACCCTCTCACTACCCACACGGTACTGTCACCCACCCTCTCACTACCCACACGGTACTGTCACCCACCCTCTCACTACCCACACGGTACTGTCACCCGCCCTCTCACTACCCACACGGTACTGTCACCCGCCCTCTCACTACCCACACGGTACTGTCACCCACCCTCTCACTACCCACACGGTACTGTCACCCACCCTCTCACTACCCACACGGTACTGTCACCCACCCTCTCACTACCCACACGGTACTGTCACCCACCCTCTCACTACCCACACGGTACTGTCACCCACCCTCTCACTACCCACACGGTACTGTCACCCGCCCTCTCACTACCCACACGGTACTGTCACCCACCCTCTCACTACCCACACGGTACTGTCACCCGCCCTCTCACTACCCACACGGTACTGTCACCCGCCCTCTCACTACCCACACGGTACTGTCACCCACCCTCTCACTACCCACACGGTACTGTCAACCACCCTCTCACTACCCACACGGTACTGTCACCCACCCTCTCACTACCCACACGGTACTGTCACCCACCCTCTCACTACCCACACGGTACTGTCACCCACCCTCTCACTACCCACACGGTACTGTCACCCACCCTCTCACTACCCACACGGTACTGTCACCCGCCCTCTCACTACCCACACGGTACCGTCACCCGCCCTCTCACTACCCACACGGTACCGTCACCCACCCTTTCACTACCCACACGGTACTGTCACCCACCCTCTCACTACCCACACGGTACTGTCACCCACCCTCTCACTACCCACACGGTACTGTCACCCACCCTCTCACTACCCACACGGTACTGTCACCCACCCTCTCACTACCCACACGGTACTGTCACTCGTCCTCTCACTACCCACACGGTACTGTCACCCGCCCTCTCACTACCCACACGGTACTGTCACCCACCCTCTCACTACCCACACGGTACTGTCACCCACCCTCTCACTACCCACACGGTACTGTCACCCACCCTCTCACTACCCACACGGTACTGTCACCCACCCTCTCACTACCCACACGGTACTGTCACCCGCCCTCTCACTACCCACACGGTACTGTCACCCGCCCTCTCACTACCCACACGGTACTGTCACCCTCCCTCTCACTACCCACACGGTACTGTCACCCTCCCTCTCACTACCCACACGGTACTGTCACCCACCCTCTCACTACCCACACGGTACTGTCACCCACCCTCTCACTACCCACACGGTACTGTCACCCACCCTCTCACTACCCACACGGTACTGTCACCCACCCTCTCACTACCCACACGGTACTGTCACCCGCCCTCTCACTACCCACACGGTACCGTCACCCGCTCTCATCCACCCTTAAAAAATCAGCGTGTGACTCGCAGATTTTTTGTTTTGTTTTCTATAAAATAATCATAGTAAACAAATGGAAAGCATCTCAAGACCAACAACCACTCACATCATCACAGGTAGATCAGCTGATCAAGAAGGAGATTCTGCTGGGACAGCAGTTTACACCAACAACCGTGAAGCTTACTGGAGCATGAACAGTGGGTGCTCAACACTGCAAACATAATTATATGCCCCTGAAAGAGTCCATAAATTATGCAATTGAGAATAATTTACTAAATGTCATCATTTATACCGACTCTAAATCTTGGCTCCAGACATTGTTATCCAACCAGCACAAAGATAACATAC